AGCCACAGGCACCGAGCCAAGGCAAACTTTTTCTTAAAGGGCCAGAAAAATATTTTAGGTTTGCAGGCTATTTGGTTTCTACCACAATCAATATTACAAACATTGAAAAAATCTTTTTTTCCCTCATCATCATCATCATCTTGCCACCATTGCCCTAGCTCACAGCAACTTCATTGTCCTGGGCACAAGTGATCTTCTTGCCTCGGCCTCTGGACTATCTGGGACTACAGGTTCCTGCCACAACGCCCCTCTAGTTTTTCTATTTTTAGTAGGGACGGGTCTCCAACTCTTGACCTCAATCCACCTGACTCGGTCTCCCAGAGTGCTTGGTGAGCCACCGCGAAACACTGAGCCTGGTTGAAAAAACAAATCTTAGTAGATGTCAAAATTGCCTTCCGAGATGATTTTATAAATTTCCATTTGTGAAATGATTTTAGGGCATGCTACAGGTCCAGTTTGGGAGGGCTGCCTTTAGCATTCCCTCCACGGATAAGTCCTAACCCCCAGTACCTCCTAAAGTGACTCTGGGGAGGAGTCAGGGTGGGCACTAATCCAATATAGGTAGTTACACCACAGGAGCGGTTAGAACACAGACTGCAGACAAAGACCTGGGAGAAGGTGGACGTTTACAAGCCCAGGGGAGGGGCCTTGGAAGATACAACCCTGCTTAAGCCCTGATCTCGTACTCGTTTAAAGCTGAAATGTAGCTGAAACGTGAAGAGAAGCCACTTCCTACGCCCAGGCTCACTAACTCTTCACCTTTTAAAACCCTGGAGGACATCTTTCATGCCTAATGATGCACGTGAGCTCCAGCAATTAAAAAGTAGGTTACTTTTGTTTTTTAATTTCCCCATTGATTTGGTAATAAAACGTAGTCTTACACTGGCCTAAGAACCATAGCAAAACCTGAAATCCAGCCAATTACTTTCTTGGAGGTATTTGACGATAGTAGTGTAATAATTTTGAAGCATTAATTTAATTATGGCAATCAGGCCACATAGTTTGTATTCCGCTTCCCTCACTTTTCCTTATTTCTTCGTTCACAAATACAACTGTAAGCGAGCGAGGGGACGCTTCTGCGCGGTAGCTGCGGTGCTCTAACAGCCTAGTACAGACCAACCCCCAGCAGCAACGTCCCTTAAAGCGCCAGACTCGGTGCGGGCGCGCCCCGTGGTCACGCGCGCGCCCCGCCCTCCGCGTGCACGCCCCGCCCCGCGGCGGAGACGCGCTCGCAGCGTCATCAGTGTTTTCGAAGCGAGTCTCGACGCTGCGGCTGTCAACTCCATTTTGTTGTCAGCGATTTTCGCAGGCAGTTGGGCACTTGCTGTGGTCGCCTTGCGAGCTTTGTCTCCTTCAGTTTGGAGTCTTCCGCCAGGACGGTAAGATGCAGGAGGAACTAACTAGGTGTCAGGGCCCTAGCACTGTGCCTGGCGATGGCCCCGGCGATGACCCCTTCCCTGCCTCCTTGGGGCCCGCAGTCTCCCCCCGACGATCGCCTCCGCCCCGTCACCCTCGGGCTGCACTAAGCCGTGCGCTTGTCCTCCCCGCTCGGCCAAGCTGCTGCCAGCTTATGCTCGCGGGGAACAGGCATGGTGGGGGCTGTCCGCGGCGCCCTCGTCGGGTCCGCCTTGCCGAGAGGGAGCGGTCAGCTGGGGCGCTGGGCAGGGCGAGCGGGAGGGCCAGCGAGCGCCATCTTGTTGGCCGCGTAGCCGCGCTGCGAGATGGCGGCGGGGCGGGGTCCGCCGGAGTCCAG